CTTTGGCAGATTTTCAAAGTCCGATTTGTGTAGGTTTCTTTCCGCGACTCTCCGTGCGAATTGAATTGACGTGAGGAAAACGAACGAAGGGGATTATTTTGGATTTGGTCAATCGTTTCGGTTCAACATTAAAATAATTAAATAAATAAATCGATCCAGAATCCTTTTGAGCCCTTTTTCGATTGTTGGTGCTTTTGATTTAGGGGCGGATTATAAATGTTTCGTTGACAATGTCAAAGTTTAGTTTTACAGTTGCATAATAATTTTAAAAAACGAATCATCTCAATATTTCGATTGTAGGACAGCAAAAAAACGTTTTTGATTGTACCGATGTGTCGCATTTCTCCTTTGATTTGTCATTGAATCACAAGGACTGACCTGGTTCGAGGCGCTTTCTTCGGGTGTTTTCTCAAAAGTCCAAAAGTCCAAATTCATTGGACTCGAAGAAATGTCCAATACGCAAAAACGTTTTCTCATCCGGAAAATGTTCCAAATTTCAATCTGTCATCCCGAAAGAAACCTTTCGATGTGGAAGGCGCAATTTGATGGACGCGTCCTCATTCCAATTCCGTCTTGCTCGCAAGTTTGGAAGGAAATCGGCTGGCAAAGTTGGAGCGCAAAAGCCCCCCGCTCGCTCTCACCTGGGATGAAGCTTTTTTTTTTTTTTGCTTCTCCGCGGACGAAAACATTTCCTCTGGCAAAGTTGGAGCCCAAAAGCCCCCCGCTCGCTCTCACCTGGGATGAAGCTTTTTTTTTTCTTTTGCTTCTCCGCGGACGAAAACATTTCCTATTTGTTGCATTTCAATCAAGGCTCACGCTCAGATTTTTATTGGATTATTTTTTTGGACTGTGTCGTCCGAACGAACCGCAGCATCGTCATCGTCGTCTTGAGGCTCCTGAATAAATGCACCCGAAAACCCGGACCCTCCCCCACTCAGCCATTGGAAACAGCACAGCCACCTTATGCAGCACGTACACAGTTGCACAAATTCTTCTATCTTCTATTTTTAGATTGCATTCTGCACTGCGTCCGGTTCAGTTTGAAAACCAATTTTGTGCATGCAAATCCTTGTTTTTCGACTTCTTCCCTCCGAACTTGGCTGCTGTACATTGCAAATGTCCCCACTGTGAGAAGATAAAGTTTCTCTTCTCTTCTCTTCTCCTCCTCAGCGTCATGACGAGGTCCGAGCTGAGTTTCGGGGAGGCCGATGTTCGTCGCCGGCGACGGCGGCAGGAGGAGGACGACGACCAGGAAGAGGAGGAGGGGCAGGGGGGCGAGGACGAGAGGGAGGGGGGCGACCGCAGCCCCGCGGGGGCCGCGACGGAGGCGGCGGCGGGCGACGGGGAAGACGACGACGAGCGCCGCTTCGAAGACGAGCAGGAGGAGGAAGACGACGACGATGATGACGACGGTGGCGGCGGCGGCGGCGGCGGCGGGGACGCCGACAGCAAGCCCAAAAGACACGGACCCAAGAAGAAGAAGATGACCAAGGCTCGCATGCAGAGGTGAGCCCGCCTTGCACCTGCACAAATTTCGCCGTGGTGACGCCTTCAGAACCAGACCGAAGCGCGGTGAAATTATTCAGGAGGTCACAAGCAAATCCGGAGTTTTTTTCCCTCACCGCCGAGTGTGTGCGGCCGGCTCTCCACTGCTCCCAATGAAAACAGAAAACAAATTCAACTATTCAATTCTTCTGACTGTTGTTACCGTTCCTTTTTTTTTTTTTTAATGTGTGCGTGCTATGGAAACGTTGGCGTTCACGCGCGCGCGCCTGTGAAATTGACTCAGCGTTAAAGATTAGCCAGCGGGTGAGCAAGGCGCTTGAAAGTTTCCCGGTAACAGCCGAGCAAGCGCTCGGTCGGCCTCCTCATCACCATCGTCGCATCGCGTTGCCAAGGTAACCGCCTCACTCGGCCGGTCTAAAGTCCACCGTTCTCGGCCAATATGCTCGTTCATCTGTCGTCAAAAGTTCGAGACGTTTCGTAGGTCGCCGATTTGATTCCGGGCACTTTGTGTTTCATCACACGTCACTCATTTGAGTTGGAAGAAAGCCCGAGTGAGGTGAGTGACGGCTTTGTCCGTCCCGCTTGGTCGCCGTCCGACCGACCTTCGGCAGCAGCGAGTTCACGCGCGGCCCCGCAC